GGGGCAGCCGAGGACGCGCAGGGAGGGCAGATGCTGCTGTCCCAGACAGCTGCCGGGGGAAACACAGCGGGAGTAACAGTGTCTCTTTGGGAGCAGGACTCTAACGTGCCCTTTCTTGCTCTTTGTCGAGCAAATCCTTTCATCGTTGTACTGCTCTCTTTTTCCCCTTTTGCAAAGTATCCCAAGAAGTAACCCTTGTAGATTTAAGTGCCCCGCAAGGCGGCCAATAGCTCTGTAACAACGAGGGAACCGACAGCTCCCGAACCCAGGGCTCGGCCGAGGCTGAGGCGCAAGGACTCAGCCAGCTGCTCCTGCAGGAGGAGACCGCCTGTGCCGAGCTCGGCTCCCCACACCGTCGCAAAACGAGCCCGTTCGCCTCCGGCGGCTTTGGAACACTGCGCGCTTCCCAAAAGCGGGCTGCCCAGCGCCGGAGGTAAGCACCACCCCTCACCGGGCACCCCGGCACGTTTTTTTTTGGGGGGCGTTGCCCCCCCCGCCTTCGTCACGTGCCTTCCGGGTAAGGCCACTGCCGGCGCGCGGGCGCTCCGGTATCGCGGCGCCGCGTAGGGCCGGGCCGGGCAGTCGCTCCCTGAAGACAGGAACACAGGCCGCCTCCGGAGGGCGGGGGATTTTCCGCCAGCCTTGTCCGCGCAGCCCGTGTCTCGCCCCCGTTGTGGTCGCGGTGTAGGCCTCGGCCCCATGGATCCGTTTTTGGCTCTGCTACACTCTTTTTCCTTGAGCCTCTCGGACGGTGAGCTCTCTTCCCTGAAGTTTCTCTGCCGGGACAAGATTGGGAAGAGGAAGCTTGAGGCTGTCCGAAATGGCAGGGAGCTCTTCAATATCCTTCTCGAGCAGCAGCTGATCGCAAGCGACAACGTATCGTTTCTTGAAGGCTTGCTGGAGAGCATTCAAAGAAAAGATTTGGTCGTACAGCTAAAGCAGTTCGTGGAGCGAAGAGAACTTAATGATCCTCATGATCAACCAGACGAGCATGAAAAACGTAGGTGCATTGGTTTTTTCTTTTTTTTCTTTTTTTTTAATTTCGTGTTCCCCCCGGCCCCCCTCCAAGCAACCCCAGTAAATGTGTATGCATCCTCTCGCTGTGGCTGTGCTTAGAGCAGACACCGAGCATGGCTGCCCTCAGGTGCCTGCTGTGGCTGAGCCTGCTAAGGGTGCTTCCGCTGCTGACTGCTGCACAGGGCTGTGTTGAACCCTGGGAACGTACCATGAGGGCAGCGTATGCTGCAAACCGCTTTTCAGGGTGGAAATTTCTTCCCTCTTTCATTCGAATGGTCACTTGGAAGTCGTGCGATGTACTTGGGATTCTTGAGTGTATCCGGCGGCTTTTCGGAACATGATGTGACTGTTGAACCCTGGGAACGTACCATGAGGGCAGGGTATGCTGCAAACCGCTTTCCAGGGTGGAAATTTCTTCCCTTTTTCATTCGAATGGTCACTTGGAAGTCGTGCAGTGTACTTGGGATTCTTGAGTATATCCGGCGGCTTTTCAGAACATGATGGGACTTTTTAGTGTATGTGATGCAGCAAGAGTAGTAGCATGTTTTAAAAAGACAAACAAAAGAACTCCAAAAATCTTTTAAAAATTTTCCTGTATTTCTTAATAAATTCATCACTAACTTGCTATATTTCTGCTATTTCAGGTCTGCTGGATGCAGCTATTGAAGTCATACGTGAAAATGTTGGGAGGGACTGGAGAATGCTGATACGAAAACTTGGCATTTCCGAAGTGAGAATAGACAGAATAGTGGCAGCCAATCCATTTAATTTGTGTGAACAGTTGCTTCAGTCACTTCAAGAGTGGCGGAAATGGAAGGGAAAAGATGCAAAGGTGACTGACTTAATAAAAGCTCTTCGGGGCTGTAACATGAATTTGGTGGCAGACAAAGTTGAACAGACGCTCTTGCCACTGAACACTGGAACCGGGTGAAATCAACATAAAAACACTTCCACGTCCCACAGATATGGATGGAAAAAGTAAAAGTGCCTTCTACTCTTCTGAACCAAAGTCAGTATCATTGGGTCTGTTACTTGTTCTGCCATTAATTTATGTGCCTGAATAGGTTGATTTGTGGTCAGATGAATATTAACATAAAACCAAATTCCTTTCAGGTAATGCTTTGTAGTTTGATGCTTCCTTTAAGAGATTTTAACTTTTTAGAAGACGTAAACTCCTGTTTTGTAAAAATTCTCACACTTCTGTTCTACCAGCCACCTGAAAAACAAGATTTGCTGTACTGCATGTATTTTTCAGATATATCTTCTCTGGAAATACGTCCACTTCTGAGGGAAGTGTAATTTAAAATTCCGTGGGGAGGTTGGATTTTTGGGGAATTTTTTGTGGCCTCTTATAACTGTAGTGTGAAAGGGGGAAGGAGTAGACCTCTTAGGCTACTCAAAAAGAAAACCCAGTACACAGCTAAGATAATCTATTCCATAATTTGTCAAATATATTTACTTTCTGTAAAAGGATACTAAGACGACTGTAACCTCAGACCTTAAGACTGCAGTGCAAGAGGGCTAGTAACTATTGTGGCAGCTTTCTCTTGGCAGAAAATGTGCCTGGGTTGAAAACGAACTAGTTGAAATCAAATGTCTGTATCAAGTGCCTTCATCATCCTGAAGGAAATGTTCTCCTGAAACTATCAGAGAAATTGTGTGTGTCTTACAGATGTTTACAGCAGCCTTTTTTTACTGCTGTGAACTTTTCAAGATTCTTTACGAGGAATCCCAGGGTCTGGTCATACTTGCTGGAAGTTGCAGCTCACCTCATAAGTAAAGCGCAGTTGTCTGTGCTCGTGGGAACAGAAGTGTGTAGTGCTACAAATACCTAGAAAACAAATTGGTTTCTTTTTAGCCGAGGGGTGGGAAAGCCTATGGAGAGCAAATATATAGCACTCACTTTCCTCTAGTGGTAGCTGGTGAAGATCAGCTGTCTTTCACCACAGTCTGTTCTCTTCAAAGGTCGCTCCAGATCCAATAGCTCTTTCAAGTCCTCTGCAATTTTTTAGTTCGTTCCTTTTCCTTTACGTTTTTTGAAAGTGATGGTGAGCAACTCAGAGAGGAAAGAGGATTTATGAATGAGACCAGATTTAGTTTTAAGCTTTAATTTGGAACAGATTTCAAAAAATGGCTTTCATGCCTAACCTAAGACTGTAAAAATTGCACAAGCTTCAAGACATGCAGGGCTATAGAGGCCTCTGGGGACTATCCCCTATGTGAGTGGGGGAAAAGGTCTCTAAAATCCTTGTTGCCTGAATGAGTAGGATTGTTTGTTACTGCAAGCATCCTTCTAACTACATAGATAGATACTTGAAGAGGAGAGGGTTCTTTTTTGCTACTGTACCTGTGTTACATGGTGCCATTACTGTGAAGGCCAGGTGTCAGCATATAATCTACCACTAATCTGCGTAAATGCTGTGACACCGATAATATTTGAGTTCTTGCTGCAGTTGGAGCTCCTAGTTTAGACAATGACACTTGAATACTTGATTGTAGTTAATGGAAACTGCTGTAATGTGAACTTACCTTTTTATTAAGGTTTTTCCTTAAATGATTCTCACAAATATTTTTCTAATCATAGTAGATTATACATCAGTGATTGTATACAAACAAAGAGCACTGGGCAATGCAGAAGTTTCTGCTTGTCAGCCTTTTGAGCAGGAACAGTTCTCTTAGTACTTGCTTCAGTACTCGTCAGTGTCAATTGTCAATTCCAGGCTTCCAGTAAAAGATACAGTGCTACACTTCAGCCAGATGACTAGCTCACATGCTTTGGAGGTTTTTATTTAATAGATACGGTCTTCATTTTACAGTATTTAAAGAAAATGATTGCTTCAGGCTTTTTTCCTTCATGCCTCTAAGCAATCTTTGTGAGCAGAGTGGAGTAGAAGTGATGTTAGCAAGAGGAGTTGTGTTTATGGTGAAACAGTTCTGCAACAGTTGCTGGTTCAATCTCTCCAGTAACATGTTTTTCTTACCCACTTATTACAAGTCATCTGCTTCACAGAAGACACATTTATCTGAAATATGAAAAGTAGTACACTGCCTACTGCATGTAACCAGGATATTTTCAACAGGAATAACTTGTTAGTTGTAGCCGGGCACTCATCAGCTGCAGGAAATATTCTGCCTCAAGATAAAACACTCTTGTTTCTTTAAGGAGTTCTACATAGCGGATGTTTTACTCTGTATGAAAGCAATGACCTAAGACTGCATCAATCTGTTCAGTACCTCAGGGCCAATTAAAATCTTTTTATTAGAGACAAAAAGGTTGATTATGTGAGAACAAAATCAAATGGAACAAAATGGAACAAAGGGAACAAAAACTTTTTATTGGGAGGGGAGGGGTAAGGGAAAAGGGTGCAATTTGCAAGGAAGCGTGTTGTGATCCAGTTAACAGTCTTTTATTTTCAAATTAAGTGTTTTGGACTTTAATATGCATATTTTTATAACTTTAATTCAAGTTTTATATTGTATAATTTTGTGCACATTTAATTAAAAAATACTTCCTTAAACCCAAAAGAAATGGAACTGTGTTTTTATATTATGGGAGTGCTGTCTATGGTGAGATCCCTAATTGGGAGAAGATGAATGTTAAGGACACTTTTAAATCAAGGAGTGGTGCTAAACAGGCATTATGTTACCGATGTCCTTCTTGGAACATTAAAAAAAAAAAAAAAAAAGCCAAGAAGCTTTGTCATTGAATTTCTCAGAAGTGCTAAAAGGGCTATAGTTTTCCTAGCAGGAGTAGCATTTGAATGCTGTCACTCAGGGAAGTGTAAGGAAAAAAAAATGCTCTGCCAGCCCTCAGAAGTCTAAAATCGAGTTGCAGCGTATGCATGGGGGAATTGTTTCCTTATTTTTCTTCTGCTAGTCATGCTGTGGTAAGGATGTTGTATTTGTTTTGTAATTAATTAAAACCAGACCTTACAGCTTAATCTAAACCTGTTCAGGCCTTGAGAGGATGTGTTCAGAAGTTAAATGGGTAGAGGTTTCAGCGTTCTATGAAGTACATACTGGCACTGAAGTGTTAGCGGGCACTTAAATATTTGAATGGTAACTTAATTACAGGTAACTTAATTACCCATTTTATCAAATCCTCTGTGATACTCTGCAAGAGTATCTGCCTGTGAGAAATTACTGCAACCTTTTCCTTTTGGTCTCTTGAGAGTCTTGTTTCCTTACAGCCCTGAGAAAACAACACATCAAAACATGTTGAGAGTAAAAAGTGCAATCTCAGGAGAATTCTCAATTTTGGAAGATTGTTTTTCCATGTCACTTCACAGTCCCTTTCACTACTTGCTTGCCATTTCCTATGGTTTTTGAAGACATCAATTATATATTTCATATTAGGTTTTTTTTTAAAAAATTGCTTTATTTTCGTTACTGAGTTAAAAGACGTTTTTTTTTTTTTTAATTGCTTTATTTTTGTTACTGAGTTAAAAGAAGTTTTCTAGACTTTTAATTAAAATTCCTTTTTTTACAAATTAGTTGTCATGAATATTTCAAATGCAATGCTTTGTTTTCCTTTTTCTCCATTCCCCACACACAGGCAGCTGTATTTCCTCCAGCCTTTGTTTCAGTCCTAAAATAATTGGCTACTTTCTGAAATCTAATTGCTTCATTTAATTGTTTAACGCAAAAAGCTTAGTAACACATGCTGTATTGCTGTCTCTCCAGGCTCCCTCTGGCACTCAGCATGTTCTTAATTCAGGCTTTTTGGTTGAGTGTTTTTCAATTTAAATTTATTTCTAATCACTGCCTCTGTTTCTTTCACAATTATCGAAAGGTGGTTTGTGCTGTTCTTCCCATTCTCTGCATGGATCACCTATGCCCTTAAGATGTGTTCCAGCATGGAAAATATTTTTCTAAGTTGTTTTCCCTCTTTGATTTAGTACTTCTTTTCTCTGCCAGTGTTTTTTTTGCAAGGACGCACTGGTAGAATTATAGGAGCTAGTTCGCCGTTTCAACTGTATACCATAAAAATAGGAATTGTGAGGGTGAGATGAGGGGTAGGAGACAGAGTTTCAAGTAAAGGTTCAAGAACTTTTGAAGAGTCTATCTTTGTCTTCGTAAAAATTTTCGTAGCTGAGGATTACTTAACACTAGGAGGGTGTGTTGCAATGGCTTCTGGGAATGGTAGGTTTAAAGAAAAGGAATAGCAGCTTTACTCAGCTGCTGGGAAAGCGCTGATTAATGCAGGCTTCTGTGTGGGAATCCGCATGGAATAAACTTACAGGCACTCTTAATGATTAAATAGACATAAATTTCATCCACAGAACTATTTCTGCTACCGTTGCGTTCTTGAGAGAATTAGACATTCATTTCTTAGACTGAAAATAAAGTAACGCAGGTTTGTTCTTGTAAAATATGATGTAATGTACCTTATTAAAATATCTTAAATTGGTAATACAGATTGAGTTTCAACTCAGTAATTCCTGTGATTTGATCAATTTTGGAAGTCAAAAACTTTTTCATCGTTTTCCAAGTACGCCATGTGTACAGTTGTTTGTGTGTGGATGGTAACGTAGCTTTCCTTTTTTTCAGCTTGGGGTTTAGTTTCTCGAAGAAAAGGGTAATGCTCTGTTTCTGGCAGGTCACAGTCCTTAAGACAGTTTTCAAAGTAACCAGCTATTGCAGCAAAGTTAAGGGGTTTGTATGTGTTCTCTAAGCCTCTGAAGAGATTGGTGTGTAAAAAATAACATCATAGAAGAGGTTTTGAGGATTACATCTCCGGTACAATGTAGTAAGTACCCTTGCTAAGGAAAGCAGCTTAATGTCAACTTTGTTTGGCTAATGCTTCAAAAAGTTACCAAACTGGCATTTTTATTTACTGCATAGTGTTCAAGCTCAGGCTCTTGAGCTGTGCGAAGTAACACAGACAAAGTTGGACCATTGTCATCAGAGGCGTAAAAACATCCAACTGGGATTTTCTGTGGTAGCCATTTTATTTACTGGTGAGCGTGGTTTTATAG